ATAGGAAAAAAAAACTGATAGTTATGTTGTAGCAGCCAGGAGGCAGCGGTGGTCATGCCGTGGTGGCCAGGAGGCTACGGCAGTCGTGCCGCGGTGGCAGTGGTGGCCGCAAATAGGTTGTTAACGAATCGAACGTTCGCGAACAAAAGCTCATTCGTGTCGACAAAAGCTCGTTTGCTTGTTAATCGAGCCGAGTTTGAACATAGAATTAGGTTCGTTTAATAATTGAATGAATACGAGCTCGTTAGCGAACGCTCGATAATGTTCGTGAATATTAATATCATATAATTTTATTTTATTTTTTATATATTTACTTGTTATTTCTAATAAAAAAATCTAAAATAATATTTTCATTTATATTTTTATTTTTGAGTTAATCAAAGAATATTTAAAAGGTTTATTTCCTAAATTATTCGAACACGAACGAACTCAAACTTTGGCGAGTAATTAAACGAACGAGCTCAAACACGATTTTTTGCTCCAAAAATAAATGAACGAACACGAGCTCGAAACACCCAAGCTTGGCTCACTTGGTTAGATTTTGCTCAGGCAGGCGAAGGGCTGAATTCTGGCCCTAGAGCTAGAGGGGTCAACAAGGGAGACCCACTCCCCGATTGCGATGTCGTTCTCAAGAAGCTCAAGCGCAGTGGAACGCGCGGATAGTGTGGAGTGGTGCCTGACCAGAGTCGGCCATCTCAGTCAGGGGCTCGTCCCACGGCATATTGAGGATGTCGTTATCAAGATACATGGGGACTGAAGGATTTGAAGTAGAATCTTTTCAAATCTTTGAAGCCAATCTGGGCTACTTTTCGTCATTTTCATATGACAATACCGGAAAGGAGCATGATCTATACCCACAAAATTCTTTTATCATCTCACATTGCAATCGAGCTAAATAGAATATAAGCAAGAAAAACAACATATTAAAATGTATAACAAAACAGGATATAAGCAAGAAAAACAACATATTAAAGTGTATAAATAGTATTATCTCGAAAAAAAAATAAGGACGAATCTGCAAGTATTAAGACAAAATTTATTCCCAGTAAAACCACAAACCAACTCATGTTTTATCAGCTTCCAAACAAAAGATGTTCCCCTTCGAATACGCACACACCAAAATATTCATCATGTAAGTTTGTGGCAAATAAAAAATGTCGCTAAATCTATGGTTTCCCTCTCCTTTTCTCTCTCCGTTTTATGTTGAAAGATGATTTTTTTTTATTATTATTATTATAGTTATCTCCTCCAGCCGGCCACTCAAAACAAACAGGTTCTGGAATTTTCAGTCATTTGCCTCTTATACATTCACAGCACCACCAGTCTCAGAGTTCGGACGGCTCGAAGAATGTAGCCATTTTTGCCATGTGTCACGTCTCCGGATCTTTTCACCCTACAAAAATAAAATAAAATAAATAATAAATATTTATTTCATCTGCATTGTGAAACTAATGAGTGGTAATAATATTTGAAGCCATTGGATATTGTGAATTTTCAAATGAAAAACTAACCAGCAATTCCACAACTGTTGAATGTTTTAATGCGTCCAAAATTACTTGAACATTCTTCGTCAATTGTTCGACCTGAAACAAATTGAAAAATGGCAGGCAATAAAGACAGTCATTGTGTACTTTCATTATCACGAATACAATCATGCAATTGCCAACTAGATGCAGCAATTAATTTCACAAATGCAAAACCAAAAGCGGTGTTCAGTTGCTGACAAATACCAACTAAATGTTGGTCTCATACTGTAAATAATCTTCATCATCAGTCAACATCCACAAGAAAAACATCAATCACAGTGGCCACAAAATCACAAATACACATAGAGAGCGTAAGACACTCGTGGTTATTATCTTCGAATGTTTTCATTTTAAAGAGTCGTCTGCAAGTGCAATGATATTAGAGTCATACAAGTATATGAATGACGAAATAGGAAAATATGTGATAATAATTGAGGATCGGTATTATTCTGATGTTGGACTGGAGATATGTGGAAGAAAATAGTAAAAATGGGTGAAAAGTGTAAATTTTAAAATGATATTATANAAAAAAAAAAAAAAAAAAAAAAAAACTTAACGCAGCACATTAAATAAGACAACAACAATCAGAATAAAAATCACCGAAACATTCTAGTTTCAAGTTTCACGAAAGAAGCAACTCAGCTGTAACTTACTCGATGAAAGGATGCTATTAGAGTAATGGGCACCCAGCCCTGATCATCCATCTTTGACCTCAAATAATTATCCTTCGCCAAGTTATCATCACTGTGACAAATATCCCGGTTAACCTTTGTTCAAAAGCAAAACAGACAAAGAACCCAAAACAACAACAGTTCCGCAAACTCAAAATCCAGCGAGACAAGCACACCTGAAGTAATAATCTATTTGCTTGACAATCATATTTGTCAAATTATTCTCATTAGCCGGAGGAAAAAGCATAGGCATTGGTGGCGGTACAACTGGCATAGCCCTAAAGGACTCCGGACCCAAAGGCGGCGGCGGCGGGGCCACATACACAAAAGGAGATGCCATCTCTAATTTCAATCAAACAAAAAAAAAATCAAAAGATCAACACATATTTCAACATTTCACAACAGTGCCTGTAAAAAATTTCACAACATTTCACTTAGTTACACTCACCGAACCCCATTTGTCCTGGGAAAACCCTCATTGGTGGTGGGCCTATAAAGGGAGGAGGCATATATGACATGGGAGAAGGTTGAGGCATATAAGATGGGGGAGGAATATTAGCTTCCCTCCGATCTTGATGGCGTCGGGCTCCATAGTTATTGTGATGGGGCCCGTCACCTCGTGGCCGGGGCCCGTAATTATGAGCCCTCCTTGAAGGGGTTCTTGGGGAAATTCCAGTTGACTGATTTGCCCCTGTATCGACCACTGGACGAAAAACGGGGAAGGGGGGTGGTGGAGATGGCCGAGCAAAGTTGTTATTATGAGAAGGCCCACCACCACGATTCCTTGACCTTGCTCTGCTCGTGTTCGTGTTGTTTGCAGAGGAATTGGCATGGCTGTGGGGATTGACTTGTCTCTGAGGCGGTTGAGATAGTAAAGGAGGAGCCTATCAAACAAGAGATGTTTTATGAAACGGAGTGGTTAAAACTGTGATTAGCATTGTGTGTCGTTACTTGAGAGAAATAAAGAGCATGCGAAGCACATTGTTTGATGGAATATGGAAAAGCTCGTGAAGATTGAGATTTTAGCATCGTATGTCCCTACTTAAGAGGGACAAAGAGCATGCGAAGCACATTGTTTGTTAGGATATGGAAAAGCTCGGGAAGACTGAGATTGGCATTGTATGTCCGTAATTAAGAGCAATAAAGGGCATGCGAAGCACATTGTGAATGTTAGGATATGGAAAAGCTCATGAAGTCTGAGATTAACATTGGATGTCCTTAAGAGCAACAAAGGGCATGCGAAGCACACTGTTAGAAATATGGAAAAAGCTCACGAAAACTGAGATTAGTATTGTTTGTCCCTACTTAAGAGCAACAAAGAGCATGCGAAATTTCTTGTTCAAATTTGGAAAATCTCAACTGTCAATCATTACGAATTTAATATGCTTGGACAACTCCAGATCAGCAATGATTGTGTGACGAATAAGGCATCAACATCTATGTGTATCCAAAAAGAATCGGAAGCTATCAGATTTTACCCATGAACCAAACTAACCAAATACTCATATGACAGAAACTCAAAGTTTTACATATGTGAACCATTAACCAAAGGTTCAAACGAATGCAGTGAATAAATTACAAATTTAGGAGCTGAGGAACCGCACATATCAAAGAGACATACAACAAACGCAAACCATAAAAAAAAAAAAAAT